AGCCAGGCCTCATTGTCCCCCATTCTGTCTCTTTGCATTTCCTTTTTTCTGCCAAAGAAAAAATGCCATCATCATTTCCAACAAAAATTATAAAAATGCAGAAGCGTTTTGAGCGACCCCTCCTACAAAATCCTTGCTCACTCTCCCTTGACTCCTACGAGTTGCTGATCCAATCAGGGGCTCTCTGTGCCCAGTTTATTGAGGTGGCTTTTGTGATAAGCCGGAATCATTAGGTAAGAGGAGATGCTGACTTCTGATTCGGACTTGTTCAGACACAGTCAAGTCCAGCTTGGCCATTGCAACCAACAAGCGGGTGACAGAAAGTCCCTTTTTGCAACAGCGAGCCACACAATCCGGCCATCTGTTCCAATGTGCTTTCTTCTTTGCAGTAAACGCAAAGGTTTTGTTGCTGTTGTTTAATCCTGTTTGCTGTGACATCGGAACATCGCTACCCAGAGAGAGACAAAGAGAGGCAGAGACATGTGAAACTTGTGTGCAAAAGGCTGTAGATAGTTTGAAATATCCACCCCTTTTTCTTCCCTTCCGACTGCAGAGGGAGAAGGAGACTACGGCTTCGTTTTGGGGCAGATTATGTAACGTGTTTCTTTCTTCAAGACGAGCAGGTGCTCCGCTCTTTTCTCCGCCAAGTGTGCTTGATTGTCCACGGGGCGCCTGTGGGGAGATGGCCGAGCCCTGCCAAGGCGCTCCATCCATTCAACAGGGACTCTATTCATGTCACCTCTCTGGAAGGAAGGAAAGAAGAAAAACACCTCCAAACCCACAAAGCTTCTGGGACTGTCAGCCAAGATGGATGGGACTTCCTTTGGAGCCCCTCCTGGACTCTGTTTGCACAAAGCCCTTCCACCATCCCCCAGTCCTGCTCCAAAGTGGATTTGCTTTCAGGCTTTCCCACTGGTTGAAAATTTGGGAAAGGGCTCTGTGGGTGGCTTCTGGTCCCCACCCGCAGCTATGGGCTGATCGGCCAAGGGGAAAGCAGTGTCTGGCCTCCATTCTGTAGCTGCGAGGGCATTTCCTTTTGACTCTTGGGAATATTTGGTCTCTATATTAAGTAGAACGCAACAGGATTAGTGCAAAACAAGTATGGGTGGAGACAGAAAATAAGTATTTGGGATGTCCCTGTAAAGTTGGGTTCCTGTGAGTTTTCAGGCCATGTACCAGAAGCATTCTGTCCTGACGTTTCACCCACATCTATGGCAGGCATCCTCAGAGGTTGTGAGGTCTGTTGGAAAGAAGGCAAGGGGGGGGGTATATATACAATAGAGTCTTGCTTATCCCACCTTTGCTCATGTGTAGATATATTATTATTATTATTATTATTATTATTATTATTATTATTATTATCCCTATGAGGAGCGGCTTAAAGAGCTTGGCATGTTTAGCCTGAAGAAGAGAAGGCGGAGAGAAGACATGATAGCCATGTATAAATATGTGAGAGGAAATCACAGGGAGGAGGAGGAAGAAAGCTTCCTTTCTGCTTCCCTGGAGACTAGGATGCAATGGAGGAATGGCTTCCAACTACAAGAAAGGAGATTCCACCTGAACATGAGGAAGAACTTCCCGACTGTGGGAGCTGTTCAGCAGTGGAATGTGGTGAAGGCTCCTTAAACAGAGGCTGGATGGCCATCTGTCAGGGGTGCTTTGGATGCAATATCCCTGCTTCTTAGCAGAATGGGGTTGGACTGGATGGCCCACAAGGTCTCTTCCAACTCTATGATTCTATGATTATTACAGTTGATTGATTTTGTCTGGGAGATAGAAAACTAAGTACTACAACTGACAAAATTATTTTTAATTTACCAAATGTTTTGTGCATTTTCAGATTATAGACCCATTTGTGGAGGTGGAGCTAATCGGTTTGCCGGTGGACTGCTGTAAAGAGCAGACAAGAGTGGTGGATGACAACGGTAGGACTCTCCACTTTCTCTCTTCAGATCGTTCGCCATGTCATCCGCCATTTCTATCACAGACAATAGAGTTCAAAATCCCACTTGTATGCAATGGATCGTTTAACAATACCATTAAATCATCTGCAAACGTATTCGTCTGTAGATTGCACATTTGCCCTTTCGATGTCCTTTTCAGCCCCGATTGCTCTTTTCATGCCCCTGTCACCATTAGAAACAGCAGTGGTGAAAAATGACTTTTGGTATTTTCCATGGGTTTGCCAATTCTCCATTAATCAAGATTTGAGTACTTTGCTTATCGTAGATCTGATTAAAACTATTTTAAGAGCCGTATACCAACACTCAATGTAAGTGAGCATTCCATGGCATGAACATCCCTTCTTTATGTTTAGTCCAAATCCTTGCAGAGTGGTTTCTGGTAAGATGACTAGGAGACCAGTCTGTGAGAGAGTCTAATTCAGTGGTTCTCAACCTGGGGGTCGCGACCCCCAGGGGGGTCGCCTGGCCATTTCGGAGGAGTCGCGAGGCCACCTCCATTGACCCCGCTCCAAGGGCGGCCTGGCCTTGTGCAAAGCCCACCTCACACTCTAGTCATCCAGCGAGGGGTCCCATATTTAGGGGTCCCGGTGTTAGAAAGGTTGAGAACCACTGGTCTAATTGAATATTATATACTTTATTTACCATATATATTCAAGTATAAGTGAACCCGAATATAAGCCGAGGCACATAATTTTACCACGAAAAATTGGGAAAACGTATTGACTCGAGTATAAGCCAAGGGTAGAAAATAAAAATAGATACCAATAAAATTACATTAATTGAAGCATCAGTAGGTTAAATGTTTTTAAAATACTTACATAAAACTGTAATTTAAAATAAGACTGTCCAACTCTGATTAAACTATTATTCTCACCTTCGTCAATGTAAATGGGCTTCCATATCCTTCCAATAATAATAGAGTAAAATAATAAATGCAATAAAAATAATAATAGAGTAAAATAATGGAAATGTAATAACAGTAATAAGAGAGTAAAATAATAAATGTAATAAAAATAATAATACAGTAAAATAATGGAAATGTAATAACAGTAATAAGAGAGTAAAATTTATTGAAGTATAGAAGCTTAATGGTTTCAATGTTTCTTAACTCCTAGAGGTACATTCCTTTAGTGGTTACATTTATAACATTTCATAAAACAACTTTTAAGAGGACTGTTCTTTCCACTAAACAGGTTTTAAACTTATTTCCTTCAAAATGTGTTTCTTTCCTTAACAGATCACTCAGATCATTACTGGGGTTCTCTTCCCCTTTTTGCTCAAACCCTAACTACTAATCTAAATAAGTCAACTTGACCTATCTAAACCACACAGGCTAAAAGCCTAAACCTTCCTGATTCTCAACATAGTAGAACCAGCTTTCCCTGCGGTTCTCTGACCACAGACTGCCTATTTTAAAATGCCTGCTCTTGCCAAGTGACAGTTGGCTCCTCCCCTTTTCCCATGGCAACTCACCTCAGAGTGAGCTGAGCTGGCTACCACCCCTCTGGTTATGCTATTTGAAATACTGACCCCTTTAAACACCTACCTATAATTATACATGACTCTAGGTTAAAATTCACACTTCACCAAACATACTAACATTCCTGCACTGCTCTTCTCCCAGAGCCAGGTTTTGACTCTCTTTCTAAACACTAAGAGGGAGGGGGCTGTTCTGATATCGCTAGAGAGAGAATTCCACAGCCGAGGGGCCACCACTGAGAAGGCCCTGTCTCTCGTCCCCACCAACCACGCTGGGCCGGAGGTTTAGCACAGCTAGTAAATCATCTATCAACCGAAAAGTTGCAAGTTCAAAGCCCCAGGTTGGCGTGAGTGGCTGACCATCAGTCCTGCTCACTGTTTACCTAAGCAGTTTGAAAACAGCTTTAGCTGTAATTAGAGAAATTAGGTACCACTAAATGCAAGGGAAGTGTTTTACAACACCATAAAGAAAAAGAAGATCAGAAAATGCTGGAACGAGGAAGTCCTGATGACTCTTCGTCATAGAGGATGGAGTGACAGCATCCTCACACTAAGGCCCAAGGTCCGGATACGGCCCTCCAAGGTCATTGACCCGGCCCTCGCTACAGGAACCTTACTGTATTGTTGTCTGTCTGGCTTCCTTCTTCTCTGTGTGTGCTTTCATGCAAAATGTTAAAAAACGGATGGAATAGATTTTCCTTTCTGGAAGAAAAAAAGCTAATTTTCCAGATCCGTGCATGATATACATATGGCACGAGGGGATCCTTTCCTATGCAGGCTGCTATGAATTGCCTTTGCTCCAGCATTTGTCTTCCTAGGCACAATAAAGCTGTCTGCTTTGCAGGTTTCAATCCAATGTGGGAAGAAACCCTGGTGTTCACCATCTGCATGCCCGAGATTGCATTGATCCGGTTCCTGGTGTGGGATCACGATCCCATTGGGAGGGATTTCATCGGACAGCGGACGATATCGTTTACGAGCATGATGCCAGGTGAGGCGGTGGTGCTCGTCGCCCTTGTTTTCAAATACGGAAAGGGGAAAACATTGGGCAAGGAAGGTTTCTCGCCAGGTTCCTTGTTAGTGTGGGTGTTGTTAACCAGCATAACTCAACGCACAATCCTTTTTGATTGGAAGGAAGGAAGGGAAGGATGAAAGGGTGGAAGGGAAAGATGGAAGGAAGGAAAGAAGGAAGGAAGGAAGGAAGGAAGGAAGGAAGGATGAAAGGGAGGAAGGGAGGAAGGGTAGGATGGAGGAGGAGGAGGAAAGGAAGGAAGGAAGAAGGAAGGAAGGAAGGAAGGAAGGAAAGAAGGAGGAAAGGGAGGGGAGGAAGGAAGGAAGGAAGGAAAGGGAAGGATGAGAAGGGGAGGAAGGGAAAGATGGAAAGAAGGAAGGGAAGAAGGAAGGAAGGAAGGAAGGAAGGAAGGAAGGAAGGATGAAAGGGAGGAAGGGTAGGATGGATGGATGGATGGAAGGAAGGAAGGAAGGGAAGGATGAAAGGGTGGAAGGGAAGGGAAAGGGAAGGAGGAAAGAAGGAAGGAGGAGAAGAAGAAGGAAGGAAGGAAAAGGAGAGGAAGGGAGGGTGTAGGATGGAAGGAAGGAAGGAAGGAAGGAAGGAAGGAAGGAAGGAAGGAAGGAAGGAAGTAGGAGGATGGATGGAGGAAGGAAGGAAGGAAGGAAGAGGAAGGAAGGAAGGAAGGAAAAGGAAGGAAGGAGGAAGGAAAGGAAAGGAAGGAAAGAAGGAAGAAATGAAGGAAGGAAAGGAAGGATGAAAGGAAGGAAGAAAGGAAGGAAGGAAAGAAGGAAGGAAGGAAGGAAGGAAGGAGAAGAGAAGGAAGGGAGGAGAGGAGGATGGAAGGAAGGAAGGAAGGAGGAAGGAAGGAGGGAAGGAAGAAAAGGAGAAGGGAAAGGAGGGAGGAAGAAGGAGGGAAGAAGGAAGAAGGAAGGAAGGAAGGGAAGAAGGAAGGAAGGAAGGGAAGAAGGAAGGAAGGAAGGGAAGAAGGAAGGAAGGAAGGGAAGAAGGAAGGAAGGAAGGGAAGAAGGAAGGAAGGAAGGGAAGAAGGAAGGAAGGAAGGGAAGAAGGAAGGAAGGAAGGGAAGAAGGAAGGAAGGAAGGGAAGAAGGAAGGAAGGAAGGGAAGAAGGAAGGAAGGAAGGGAAGAAGGAAGGAAGGAAGGGAAGAAGGAAGGAAGGAAGGGAAGAAGGAAGGAAGGAAGGGAAGAAGGAAGGAAGGAAGGGAAGAAGGAAGGAAGGAAGGGAAGAAGGAAGGAAGGAAGGGAAGAAGGAAGGAAGGAAGGGAAGAAGGAAGGAAGGAAGGGAAGAAGGAAGGAAGGAAGGGAAGAAGGAAGGAAGGAAGGGAAGAAGGAAGGAGGAGGAAGGAAAGGGAAGAAGGAAGGAAGGAAGGGTAGAAGGGAATGGAGAGGGAGAAAGAGGAAGAAAGGGTGGGAAGGGAGGGAGGAAAGAGAGAAATAAGAAAGGATGAAAGGGTGGAATGAAAGGAAGGATGAAAGTAGATGAGAGGGGAAATAAAGGAGGAAAGAGAGAACGAAGAAAAGAGAAAAGGGAAGGAAGGAAGGAGAAAGGAGAAAGAGAGGGAAGGAGGGAAGAAAGAGGAAGAGAAGGATGGATGGATGGATAGAAGGTTTCAAGAGAATGGAGGAAGTGAGGAAAGGAAGGGAGTAAAGAGTGAAGGAAAGAAAGACAAAAGGGAAGGAAGGAGAATGGAGAAAGGAAAGGGGGAAGGAAGGGACGAAAGGGTGGAAGGGAAGGATGGAAAGAAGGAAGGGAAGAGGGAAGGAAGGATGAAGGGGTAGAAAGAATGGAAGAATAGAAGAAGAAAGAGGGAGGTAAGGGAGGGAGGAAAGAGAGAAGGAAGGAAAGACAAAAAGGAAGGAAGGAAAGAGAATGGAGGGAGGAAAGAGGGAAGGAAGGAAGGATGAAAGGGTGGAAGGGAATGATGGAAGGAGGAAGAAGAGGGAGGGAGGGGAGGGAAGGAAGGAAGGAAGGAAGAGAAAAGAAAGGGAGGGAAGGATGGGGAAGGAGAAGAGAGGAGGAAGGAAGGGAGGAGAAAGAGGAAGGTAAGGAAGGGAGGAAAGAGAGAAGGAAGGAAAGACAAAAGGGAAGGAAGGAAGGGGGAAGGAGGGAGGGAAGAGGGAAGAAAGGGAAGAAGAGAAGGATGGATGGAAGGAAAGGGAGAAGAGAATGGAGGGAGGGCGGAAAGATAGAAGAAAGGAAAGACAAAAGGGAAGGAAGGAAAGAGAATGGAGGGAGGAAAGAGGGAAGGAAGGAAGGATGAAAGGATGGAGGGGAAGGAAGGAGGAAGGAAGGGAAGAGGGAAAGGAAGGGGAAGGAAGGAAGGAAGGAAGGAAGAAGGAAGAGGAAGGAAGGAAGGAAGGAAGAGAAAGGGAGAAAGATGGAAGGAAATGGAAGAATAAGAGGAGAAAAAGGGAGGTAAGGAAGGGAGGAAAGAGAGAAGGAAGGAAAGACAAAAGGGAAGGAGGGAGGAAAGAGGGAAGAAAGGGAGGAAGAGAAGGATGGATGGAAGGAAAGGGAGAAGAGAATGGAGGGAGGGCGGATAAAGAGAAGAAAGGAAAGACAAAAGGGAAGGAAGGAAAGAGAATGGAGGGAGGAAAGAGGGAAGGAAGGAAGGATGAAAGGGTGGAAGGGAATGAAGGAGGAAGGAAGAGGGAAGGAAGGAGGGAAGGAAGGAAGGAAGGACAGACGAAAGGGTAGAAAGAATGGAAGAATAGGAGGAGAAAGAGGGAGGTAAGGAAGGGAGGAAAGAGAGAAGGAAGGAAAGACAAAAGGGAAGGAAGAAAGAAGGGAGGAAGGAAGGGAGGAAAGAGAGAAGGAAGGAAAGAAAAAGAGGAAGAAAAGAAAGAGGGAAGAAAGGGAGGAAGGAGAAGGATGGAGGAAGGAAAAGGAGAATGGAAGGAGAGGGAGGGAAAGAGAGAAGGAAGGAAAGACAAAAGGGAGGAAAGGAAGGAAAGAGAATGAGATTGAGGAGAAAGGGAGGATAGAGGGAAGGAAGGAGAAAGGGTGGAAGGGAAGGAAGGAGCGAGGAGGAAAGAGGGAGGTTGGTGGTGGGTGGATGTTGTGGTGGTATTTTGGTTGGTTGGTGGATGGTTTGGAGTGGATGGACTTTGGATTGTGTGAGGGTGAGGAGGTGGGGGAGGGGAAGGCCCGGGATGGTTGGTGGCGTTTGTGTGGTTGGTTTTGCGATTGTGCTGGGATTGTGAGTTTGTCGGCTTGCTGGAGGGGAAGGATTAGGTTTTTGGTTCGGTTGGTCGTGTGGGTTGTTGGTGGGGTGGTTGGATGGGTGGTTGGATGGTGGGTGGGTTTGGTGGTGTTGGTGGTGGATGGTGGTGGTTTGGGTGGTGGTTGGATGGGTGGGGGTGGTTGGATGGTGTAGTTGGAGTGGTTTTGTTGTCTGTGGTTGGCCTGTTGTGGATTTTGGTGTGTTTTGGAGGGGCTGGTGTGGTTTGGTGTGTGTTGTGGACGGGTTGGTGTGTGGAAGGGGTGGTGCTGGTGTGTGGTGGATGGTGTTCGGAGTGCGTCTTGGAGGGGAAGTGGTGCGGGTTTCGTGGAGGGGAAGGAAGGAGAAGGAAGCGGGAAGGAAGGAAGGAAGGAAGGAAGGAAAGGAAGGAAGGAAGGGAATAGAGGGAGAAAGGGAGGGAAAGAGAGAAGGAGGAAGAAAAAGGGAAGGAAGGAAAGAGAAGGAGGGAGAAAGAGGGAAGGAAGGAGAAAGGAGAGGAAGAAGGAGAAGGAAGAAGAGGAGAGGAGGGAAGGAAGGAAGGAAGGGAAGGAAGGAAGGAAGGAAGGAAGGAAGGAAGGACAGATGAAAGGGTAGAAAGAATGGAAGAATAGGAGGAGAAAGAGGGAGGTAAGGAAGGGAGGAAAGAGAGAAGGAAGGAAAGACAAAAGGGAAGGAAGGGGGAAGGAGGGAGGGAAGAAAGGGAGGAAGAGAAGGATGGATGGAAGGAAAGGGAGAAGAGAATGGAGGGAGGGCGGAAGAAAAGAAAAGGAAAAGAAAAGGGGAAAAAGAGGGAAGAAGGAAAGGGAGAAGAGAATGGAGGGAGGGCGGATAAAGAGAAGAAAGGAAAGACAAAAGGGAAGGAAGGAAAGAGAATGGAGGGAGGAAAGAGGGAAGGAAGGAAGGATGAAAGGGTGGAAGGGAAGAAGGAGGAAGGAAGAGGGAAGGAAGGAAGGAAGGAAGGAAGGAAGGAAGGAAGGAAGTGAAGAAGGGAAGGAAGGAAAGAAGAAGGAAGGAAGGAGGAAGAGAAGGGAAAGAGGGAAGGAGGAAGGAAGGAAGGAAGGAAGGAAGGATGGTGTGAGAGAGGAGGGCTCAAGGGGCCACATCTGGGGCCCGGGTCTGGGTTTGCCCATACCTGGAATAGTCTCTATTCATTCCAGTAGAGACTGGGGAAAACTAAAGCAATATCCTGATGAATAGAAGATATAATGTACGGGTCCCTTGCTCCACCTTCCTTCCCTCCTTCCTCTTCTTCCTTCCTTTCCTTCCTTCCTCCTTTCCTTCTTCCTTCCTTTTTCCTTCCTTCCTTTCCTTCCTTCCTTCCTCCCTCCCTCCCTCCCTTTCCTCCCACCATAAATTATAATGATGGGCGTTTGGAAGTTGGCGATTGCGTTTTCCAGCTCCCAATATGCACAACCCCATCTCCATGGGAGGGATCTCAAAGCCAATGGGGGAAACTTCAAAGCCCTTTTGAAAGCAGCCAGAGCCTCTTTTGGGCTCGTTTTTTCGTTGGCAGTTCACCAGCAGCTGCAATTAGCCTATAATGTGAGAAGCAGGCTGGTGACGGAGTATCTTAAAAATCCAGGGGCTTTTCACATTTCCCCCCCCCCCCCCCCCCCCCCCGCCCCGGTACATCCTCCCTCCTTCGTTATTTTTGTGCCTTTGCGACTCAGATAAAAGCACCCTGTGTTGTTGTTGTTGTTGTTGTTGTTGTTCTGTTTCTCTCCCCTTCTTTCTTCTCCGTCTTCTTCAAAGGAAGAAGGAATTTGGCAAGCGAGAATGCTTTAAAGGAAGGGAAAGAATCCATCTGGCTCCGAAAAATAAAATAAAAAGTGGGGAGGGGAGCATGAATGGAAGAAGATCTGACTCTGAAACTAATAAGGGCTTCCGAGGGAGCAGGGAATAATGTATTCGCAATGCTGAGATTGACGACAGCGATGATCACAAGGAGAAAAGAGTGCCGGGAAGGCAAGGAGCTGGGCTCCTCGGTTGCTCTGCAAACGCGCCTCTTCCCCCCAAGTAAATAGGGAGGGAGCCGAAAGGTAGAAAGTAGTTTGGTGTGTTAATAAATAGGTCGCAAAGAGACTTTCAGGTGAATCATTTCGATTCTGCGCACGCCACTCGTTTGCATCATCTGGCAAGCTTTGCTCTCTGGATGAAGTGAGTCAGGGCCCTTCTACCATCCAGCTTTCCATAGATGAATGTTTCTCAACTTTCCTAATGCAATTCCTCATGTTATGGTGCTCACCAATGCTTCCTCTTCATCCTGGAAAGAAGTGACAAGTGGAGTGCCACAAGCAGGGTTCCCCCTGGGCCCGGTCCTGCTCAGGATCTTTATTAACAACTTAGATGAAGGGCTAGAAGGCAGGATCATCAAGTTTGCAGACGACACCAAATTGGGAGGGAGAGCCAATAGTCCAGAGGACAGGAGCAGGACTCAGAGGGATCTTGACAGGTTAGAGAAATGATGGTCCAAAACTAACAAAATGAAGTTCAACAGTGACAAATGCAAGATACTCCACTTTGGCAGAAAAAACGAAATGCAAAGATACAGAATGGGGGACGCCTGGCTCGAGAGCAGTACGTGTGAAAAAGATCTTGGAGTCCTCGTGGACAACAAGTTAAACATGAGCCAGGAATGTGATGTGGCGGCAAAAAAAGCCAAGGGGATTTTGGCCTGCATCAAGAGGAGCCTAGTGTCTAGATCTAGGGAAGTCATGCTCCCATGCTCTATTCTGCTTTGGTTAGACCACACCTGGAATATTGTGTCCAATTCTGGGCACCACAATTCAAGAGAGATATTGACAAGCTGGAATGTGTCCAGAGGAGGGCGACTAAAATGATCAGGGTCTGGAGAACAAGCCCTATGAGGAGCGGCTTAGGGAACTGGGCATGTTTAGCCTGAAGAAGAGAAGGCTGAGAGGAGACATGATGAGGCCATGTATAAATATGTGAGAGGAAGCCACAGGGAGGAGGAGGGAGCAAGCTTCCTTTCTGCTTCCCTGGAGACTAGGACGCAATGGAACAATGGCTTCAAACTCCAAGAGAGGAGATTCCATCTGAACATGAGGAAGAACTTCCTGACTGTGAGAGCCGTTCAGCAGTGGAACTCTCTGCCCCGGAGTGTGGTGGAGGCTCCTTCTTTGGAAGCTTTTAAACAGAGGCTGGATGGCCATCTGTCAGGGGTGCTTTGAATGCAATATTCCTGCTTCTTGGCAGAATGGGGTTGGACTGGATGATGGCCCACGAGGTCTCTTCGAACTCTAGGATTCTCGGATTCTATGGTGACCCTCAACCACAGGGGCGGCGCAACCATTACACAAAGTAAGCATTTGCGGTTGAGTTGATGTTGCCCAGAGGCGCTTGCTCTTGAGGCGCTCTTGGGGGAAAATAGACCTTGACATAGGCGAGTTGGAGTTACTGGGATTAGGCTTGGGCGGTTTCGTTCGTTAATTTCGTAATTCGTTATTAATTCGTATTTAAATTAGCGTACGATCCGATATTGAGCCATGTAGGTATAGTGTGAGGAGTAAATTAGATTCGAAACAATTTTTTTCAATTTATTTCGTAATTATTTCGTAATTATTTCGTAATTATTTCGTAATTATTTCGTAATTATTTTCGCATGCCTGGTGCAAGTTTTATAGTTGTTGTGTGTTTTATCACACCAACAGTCAACAACAGAGGGAGAGGGAAGCTTCAGAAGTTCCCCCTGTCCCATTTGGAGGTTTTTTTAGCATATTGCGCAATCGCGTCCGCCATTAACGAATCGATTCGTAATTTTACAAAATTTCGTAAATTTTGAATTTTTTTAAAGGAAAATTTCGGAATTAGTAAAAAAAACGAAACGCAAGGGCCCCCTAAAAACAAAACGAGTTTAGAACCAAATTTTTCCGTGGTTACCCAAGCCTAATAGATTAGTGTTTCTCAACTTTCCTCATGTTATGGTGACCCTCAACCACAGGGGCGACTCAAGCCATTACGCAAAGTATGCATTTGCGGTTGAGTTGATTTTGTCCAGGGGCGCTCTTGGGGGAAAATAGACCTTGACATATGCGAGTTGTAGTTACTGGGATGTATAGTTCACCTACAATCAAAGAACATTCTGAACTCCACCAGTGATGGAATTGAACCAAATATGGCACACAGAACTCCCACGACGAACAGAAAATATATATCAGTGATTGGTTGGGGGGGGGGGGCACCAAAATACTGTTTGCTTACCATTGAAAATTACCTAGGGCCACCTCTGCTCAACCATAAAATTATTCCCATGGGAGAATAGTGGGATAAAAATGAATAATAATTGTGCTGTCGCACGCTGGGCCTGTGCATCAGACTGTAGACAGGACATAAATTCTGTGTGCCCAACGGGACGCCGGGGCTGCCTCAGATTAAAGGCCTTTGGATTTCCTTAAAACAAAGTCTTTAGATTGCTTAAAGGTTCAACAAAGTTCTTTATTAATGAAAACAAACAGGTACTTTAAGGCTTTCTTAACAGTCTATTGGCTCTTGCAATCTTGTTCACTGGGAACAGGCACTATCTTCTTAACTGTAATTAACTAATGGGGAAATCCTAACTCCTAATCTGGGCAGTCTGTACTTGCCTCTGTTGGTGTGGAGCCCCTGCACCCGGTACCAACTGCTTCTGGCTTCCGCAAGTGACCCTTACCAAGCAGAGCTTTGTAGACTTCCAGGGGAAAAAGAATTCAGGTTTCCGTGATGGCTGACTGAAGTCCTTCAGCAAAGGAGCTGTAGGGCTGTATAACCCCGGCCAAGCTGTGGGCTGTATATCTCCCCGGCCAAGCCGTAGAAGACGAAGCTTTCTACAGGAGCTCTTGGTATTATGTCCTGCATGAAAGGCTTCTCTGTGTGGACTGAACCCAAACTGGCTCCTATTCCCTCCAAAACCCAAAAAGGGAGCGGGACCAGGGAACCTAACTATAATTGACAGGTGGCTTGCCCTATGATTGCAGCCAAAAGAAGCCACCTATCTGTAGAGTCCCTGAAACAAACTACAACAAACATTCAATGCAAAGCAAACAAAATTGGAGCTCCTGGTACAGCTGTACCTGCATAATAATAATAATAATAATAATAATAATAATAATAATAATAATATTTAAAAAATGGATAACAGCTGGGAAGACATATTTGATACAGAAAGATCCAGCAAAAGAGATAATACCAGGAAACTCTACAGGCCAATAACATTTCTGCCTACAATGTTCAAACTGCTGACAGGCATAATAGCTGATCAAATCCAGGATTACTTGGAGGAAAATAACATCTTGCCAGTAGAACAGAAAGGCAATAAAAGAAGAAGTAGGGGCCCGAAAGATCAGCTTCTGATTGACAAAAGTGATACTGGAGAATTGCAAAAGCCACAAAACAAACCTCTATACAACTTGAATTTATTACAAAAAAGCATTTGACTCACTGCCATATTGTTGGATTATCAAATGTCTAGATGTCATCGGAGTTTATGAAAATATTAGAAAGTTCACCGAAAATGCGATGAAACAATGGAAAACTGCGTTGTTTGTGGGCAACGAAAGCTATGGAACTGTTAACATCAAGAGAGGAATTTTCCAGGGCGACTCACTGCCACCACTGCTGTTCATCATGTTCTGTTATGAATCGTCATGTAAATATCTGATATGCAGGATATTACAAAGTGAATAGTGGTAGTTAAAGAGCACATTCTAAGGATTATTTCTGATTTATTAAAATATTCCCTTCCAAACCAAGTAACGAAGGTGGAAGCATCATTTTTCATTCATCGTTGGTAGAAACGTATCCAATTGTCTGGTGATTGTGTGGAAAAGTGAATAGTGGTAGTTAATAAGCACATTCTAAGGATTATTTCTGATTTATTAAAATATTCCCTTCCAAACCAAGTAACGAGGGTGGAAGCATTATTTTTCATTCAACCCTATAATCCCGCAGTATATAGTCTGTTTAGTACTCTAATCACTTTTGTATTTCCCATATTCTGTGGTCTTTCTATCCTATATTTTGTAATTTGTGGCCCACCTAATACTTCTATTTGCCACTCACTTTGCTTGCTCTGCTTCCTTTTGTTTACAGGCTATCGGCACGTCTACTTGGAAGGCATGGAAGAGGCGTCCATCTTTGTTCACGTAGCTGTCAATGACATATGTGGTAAGGTGAGTAATTCTGCGATCTGAGTCAGAAGGATTTGTGTCTTCCATTGGGAAGCATTTGGTAAGAGGGTGACCGGATATTTTTCGATTTGAGAATTTCAGGTCTTATTCAGTGACGTGAATCATATGGCTTTGTGAGTTGTGAGCTGGTGTGTGCAGCAATGGCAAAATGGTTTCTCTCCCCTTGGCTAAATCAGGGGAGAGATCCGGTGTGGAAAACATGCTTCCAGCACGTGACGATGGTACTACTTCTCCTTTCCCCGAACCCAACTTCTCTATGGGACAGTCCTCTTCTAAAAGAAGTGGAGAAAACAGCATCCAGCTATTTTTCTGGGCCTATATGTGCTCTGGGACCACTGCATGTTCTCCAGTGGTATCTGTGGACATTCGGGTTGTGCACGGATCCATTTTTAACCGTTTCCTTTGGCCAATCCTTCTTCGGTTTGCTCAGGTGCCATCAATGGCAAGAGGCCAGCCAGCATGGATTCCTGTTCATAATGGGACCACGTGGCAGCCACTCGTGGCTCCGGCTCCCCTATTCGGCATCACAGTCTAACCTTTTTTTTATTAATCCCAGCAAACAAAAAGAAAACTACGTACTACCACTTACCTCTAGAGTAAAAACAGCTCTAAGGAAGCGTTAAACGCGAAGCAGATAGGAGATTTAAATGTGCCAAGAAAAACAGAGGGTTTTTTTAAGGAAGCCCAGGGAGGATAGCTCCAGGTCACTGCTCTTCCTTCCCTGGGCCTCCTTAAAATGCCTTGGAAAGAGTGTGAGGCATGATGAAGACCCAGGAGAGAAAGTGCACTTGCCTACTTTTAGTACCTCTCCTCTAGAGTAGAAACAGCTTTATCAAGCCTCCTTAAAATGCCTTGGAAAGAGTGTGAGGCATGGTGCAGGCCCAGGAGAGAAAGCGCACTTGCCTGCCTTTAGCACCTCTCCTCTAGAGTAAAAACAGCTCTAAGGAAGCGTTAAACGCGAAGCAGATAGGAGATTTAAATGTGCCAAGAAAAACAGAGGGTTTTTTTAAGGAAGCCCAGGGAGGATAGCTCCAGGTCACTGCTCTTCCTTCCCTGGGCCTCCTTAAAATGCCTTCGAAAGAGTGTGAGGCATGGTGCAGGCCCAGGAGAGACAGAGCACTCGCCTGCTTTTAGCACCTCTCCTCTAGTGTAGAAACAGCTCTAAGGAAGCATTAAATACAAAGCAGAAAGGAGATTTAAACGTGCCAAGAAAAAGAGAGGGTTTTTTTTAAGGAAGTCCAGGGAGGATTGCTCCAGGTCACTGCTCTTCCTTCCCTGGGCCTCCTTAAAATGCCTTGGAAAGAGTGTGAGGCATGGTGCAGGCCCAGGAGAGAAAGCACTCGCCTGCTTTTAGCACCTCTCCTCTAGAGTAGAAACAGCTTTATGAAGCCTCCTTAAAATATCTTGGAAAGAGTTTTTGGTGTGGTGCAGGCCGAGAAGAGAAAGCGTGTACGCCTGCCTGCAGTGCTTCTCCTCTAGTGTAGAAACAGCTTAAATGCCTAAAATGATGGGAAGGGGAGCCTGGGAAGTCCCTTCCCCCCATAATTACTTAGTTAGGTGATGTATCCTTGTCCCAGTAGGATTGTCTTCCAAGATCGGTGTCCTGGTGGTGGGTCTGTAGGTGACTGTGGAGCCCTGTTCTTGACCTGCATGTTCTCCCGCAGTGAGGGCATTGGTTTCCAGGTGGAAGGCGGTCCCGGTCGGGGTTGGCTTGATGCGCCTTCCTCTTGGCACGTTTCTCTCTTTCACCCTCCATTGTGCCTCTTCAAATTCTGCAGCACTGCTGGTCACAGCTGACCTCCAGCTGGAGCGCTCGAGGGCCAGGGCTTCCCAGTTCTCGGTGTCTATGCCAGAGTTTTTAAGGTTGGCTTGGAGCCCATCTTTTCATCTCTTTTCCTGCCCACCAACATACCATTTTCCATTCTTGAGTTTGGATTAGAGCAATTGCTTTGGGGAACGGTGGTCAGGCATCCGGACAACATGGCCAGTCCAGCGGTTGATGGCGGAGGACCATCGCTTCAATGCTGGTGGTTTTTGCTTCTTCTTCCAGCATGCTGACATTTGTCCGCCTGTCTTCCCAAAGGAATTGCAGGATTTTCTGGAGGCAGTGCTGATGGAATCGTTCCAGGAGTTGCATGTGACGTCTGTAGACAGTCCACGTCTCGCAGGCGTAGAGCAGGGTTGGGAGGGGAATAGCTTTATAAGCAAGCCCCTTGGTCTCCCTACGGATGTCCCGGTCCTCAAACACTCTCTGCTTCATTTGGAAAAATTCTGCACTCGCAGAGCTCAGGCGGTGTTGAACTTCAGTGTCAATGTTGACTTGTGGAGAGGTGGCTGCCAAGGTAACGGAAATGGTCAACATTTTCTAATGTTACACCATTAAGCTGTATTTCTGGTATTGGAGAGGGCTTGGCTGGTGCCTTCTGCTGGTTTTCTCGATGTTCAATGAGAGGCCGAGCTTCTCGTCTGCTTCTGCAAAGGTGTTTAGAGTGGGTTCTTGTAGGTTTTTCGGGCTATATGGCCATGTTTTAGAAGCGGTATCTCCTGACATTTCGCCTGCATCTCTGGCAAGCATCCTCAGAGGTTGTGAGGTGTGTAGAGTGGCTTGTAGGTCTTCTTCTGAATGTGCACAGATAACGTTGTCATCAGCATACTGGAGTTCTGTGACAGATGTTGTTGTAACACAGAAAAAGTGGGTGAATGTTGTTAGTTGCATGATCCACTTCTGACCAAAACGGGTTGCGTTGGACTTTGCTTCTCTACTTGGCATTGAGAGTTCTCTGGATGTTTCTCATACGGATGTTTCCCCGCTCATGTCTCCATGAATACAAGGGGACATCATGGGCACCAAAGCAATGTCAACACATCATAAATATTTTTTCTTTGCAGTTTGGTATGTGTAAACTGTGTCTCCAAGGTGTTAGATCAGGAGCCAAAGGCCACTTTTCTTTGGACGATTAGCAAACCCACTGTGGCAAGTGGAATCCTGCTTTTCTTCGGAGCCGTGCCTACTGAATAAAGCATTTTGAGCCTAGCGGCATTTGAAAAAGGAGCGATGTGACACATTAGGCAGGAGCACTGCACAGGAGTTCATGTGGCAAATTATGTGTGGAAATACATAATTCAATTAGTGGGTGTTATGAGTGCGAATAATTCGGAGAGTGCCAATTTAGCCATCTAATCGGTAACTAATTTCCCCAGAAATGTATTACTTACAAGATATGTAACATGCACATCGAACAGTAGCTTCTTGTATAGCAGTGTCTGACTTCGTCATTAGTATGGAGTTGAATGAAAAGTAATGCCTCCACCTTCGTAACTCCTCAACAGATGGCAGTACTGGTATGCGGCAGGTACTGGCTTATTCAGTAGACTCTCATCTACAGTTCCATTTTGGCGAGAAGCCTTAGCATTGAATGGTTGTGTTGTTAAAGTGCAAAGTAATGCCTCCACCTTTGTAACTCCTCAACAGATGGTTGTACTGGGATACGGTCAGTCAATGCGACTTAAACAACGTATGCAGCAGGTACTGGCTTGTTCAGTAGACTCTCCTCTACAGTTCCATTGTGACGGAAAGCCTTAGCATTGAACGGTTGTGTTATTAAAGTGCAAAGTATGGAACCCTGCGCAGACGGTTGGTCAATGCGACTTAAGCAACGTATGCAGCAGGTACTGGCTTGTTCAGTAGACTCTCCTCTACAGTTCCATTTTGGCAGGAAGCCTTAGCATTGAATGGTTGTGTTGTTAAAGTGTGAAGTATGGAACCCTGCGCAGACAGTCGGTAAATGCGACGTAAGCAACGTATGCAGCAGGTACTGGCTTGTTCAGTAGACTCTCCTCTACAGTTCCATTTTGGCGGGAAGCCTTAGCATTGAACGGTTGTGTTGTTAAAGTGCGAAGTATGGAACCCTGCGCAGACGGTCGGTCAATGCGACTTAAGCAACGTTCAGTCATTGAATTCTTGAAGCAGAAGGTGTCACCCCAAAGGAGATTCCTCAGAGAATGCAAGCTGTTGGGGGTGATTGTGTTGATGTCAGTACTGTACATCGTTGGGCAAGTAAGTTTAAAGATGTTGAGGTGGGAACATCTGACTTGCGTGACAAACAAAGAGTTGGACGTCCTGTGACAGCAACCACTGAGTTTCACAAGCAAAAGGTTGACAGATTGATTCAGGACAATCGTCGTATCACTCAGAGAGAAATTTCAAATAATTGGCATTTCACAAGAACGTGTGGGTCACATTATTGCTTTGCTTGGCTATCGGAAGATCTGTGCACGATGGGTACCCAGGATGCTGACGCCTGAAATGAAAGCACACAGACTTGAAACTTCAGAGACTGGATCTCACCACCGTACGACATCCTCCATACAGTCCAGATTTAGCACCGCCTGACTTCCATCTGTTCCCGATAATGAAAGAAGATCTGCGGGGACATCATGATGCTTCTGATGAAGACGTTGAGAGAACATAATTGGCATTTCACAAGAACGTGTGGGTCACATTATTGCTTTGCTTGGCTATCAGAAGATCTGTGCACAATGGGTACCCAGGATGCTGACGCCTGAAATAAAAGTGCACAGACTTCTTCAGAAAACTTGTTCATTGTTGCAAGAAATGTATCCAATTGTCTGGCGATTATGTGGGAAAGTGAATAGTGGTCGTTAAAGAGCACCTTCTAAGGATTATTTCTGCGTTTGATTTATTAAAATATTCCCATCCAAACCCAAGTAACGAAGGTGGAGGCATTACTTTTCATTCAACCCTCGTCCGTATGAATAGGAATATATACGGAAGCGGTGCATGAGGATATAATTAGCAGGAGAGAAAGACTCCCAATAGGAAGAGCCAGGATGGAAAAGCCGGGCTCCTCGTTCCATGCAGTCCCTCCATCACAAAATTCGCAGTGACCTTTGGTGTCCGTGAGAGGAACAAACAAAACCCGTTCCGCCTTTTTAAGCATTCCAAGAAATACTAGAATTTG